TTATTCACCAGGCAAATTTTTATTTATCCTTTTTTATGGAAAATGGAGAGATCCTGGGGATTGAACCTAGAGCCTCATGCTTGTGAAGCATGTGTTTTACCACTGTGCCAACCCCCTCCCTATTTATCCTTTAAAAGCTGTGGACATTTCTTCCTATAAGAGGCTCCCTTCACCCAAACTCCTCCCCAATATGCACCTTGCAAGTCCTCCCCATCAAATTTAATCCTTTATAACTCTATGTAGTTATAATATACATGTAACATATAAATGAGATATATATGTACATAAACATAAATATATATTTATCTTTCTCTTCACAAGTCTCTTAGATCTTCAAAGGCAGAAGCTTGTATCATCTATCTCTACATCCTGTGTCCAGGAGAGCCCATGGGTTCAGATTATAGCAGGTGCTCAACAGTATTTACTAAACCCAGTTCAAATAATCTCCAAATTCTAAGCAAGATTGGAATTTTTAAAATTCATGTTTTAACTAAGGTCATTTCAGCCATTAAAAAAACAGTCACTTGGGGCTGGGGTTGTGGCTTAGTGGTAGAGAGCTCGCCTAGCGTGCAAGGCCCTAGGTTCAATCCTCAGCACCACATAAAAATAAATAAATAAAAACAAAGATATTGTGTCCAACTACAACTAAAAAGAAAAATAAATATTAAAATAATAATATTTTTTACAAAAACCAGTCACTCAAGTTACCTTTGAAATGGGGCCTGGGCCTAGGCCAGGTGAGATGGCATATGCCTGTAATCTTGGAAGCTTGGAAAGATGAGGCAGGAGGATTGCAAATTCAAAGCCAGCCTCAGGAACTCAGTGAAGCCCTAAGCAACTTAGTGAGACCCCCTGTCTCAGGCTGGGGATATGGCTCAGTGATTAAGTACCCTTGGTTCAATCCCCTATACCCCCCCCCCAAAATTGGTGGGGTAGGCCTAGGAGTTCTATGAGAAAGCTATCACAAACTAAGGACCTCTAGGAGAATTTTCTGTACAGAATGCTTCTTCCTTGTCAGCTCTTGTATCTTTAGACCTTTAGTTTGCATACAGTCAGTTCTGGCCTCACCTGCCTTGTTCTCCAACTCTTTGGCTTTAGTCCCCAGCGCTTGATAAGAGTTTATCTCCATATTATTCCATTCAAATTTCTGAGAGGGTTTCTTTTTCTTTTCTCTTTTGCTGTCTCTCTCTCTCTCTTTTTTTTTTTTTTTTTTTTTTTTCATTTGGCAGTAGGCCACCTTGTCCTATTTTTTTCTCTCTGGCCAAACTATGGAGCAGCTGCCCTATGGCTGAGTGCTATGCCAAAAACTCTAGGATCAGCCTGCTACCATTCCCCCAATGCTTAACTCAAGACACTGTTTTTATTTTCTCAGAACCATTACTAAACTATACTCTTAAAATAATTTTGCAACACTTTTCGAAACAAGTCTTGACAAGACTTGTTTACAGTGAGAAAAATCCTACACGCGCCTTCACCAAACCAGCTATAAAGTCCAAATATGCAGAGTTAACAATCTTAACTGGGGATGCAGGTTGGTGACAGAGCACCTACTTAGCACGAGTCAGGTCCTAGGTTTGATCTCCAGTACCACCAAAAGAGGGGAAAAAAAAAAAAAAAAGGAGTTAACGATCCTTTTTGTTTCTAGATGTGCACAGAAGGTATCCTATGGTTTGTTATCACTGTTCAACAACAGCAGTTTAAAAAAGCATTTTTAAAAGTTATTTGCAAAATTTCTCATAACATATAATGCCATATGGATATGAGTAATCCAGACATTATGTGGTTAAATTCCACCCCATAATATCAAATAACTTTATATAAGGATATGCACATACAATAGCAATCTATCACTAACCAACAAAACCTGTTTCTCTTCCTCTGAACTAATACCACTAGGTAATGACTGAAGAAGGCCACTCACTGAAAAGCTCTCATGTTAGAAAAAGAAGGGTGCTGGCCATGAGACATCAACCCTTAGGTTGGTCTCCATAAAATCAGATTCTCAGTGCTATTAATCACCTGCTTGAAAACCAGGGGAGAAAAATCAAATTAAATGTTGATTATATCACACTTTCACAAGGATCAAATTCAGCAGAATAAGAATAGCATACATATCGCTGAAGGGAGAAGGCAATTTATTCATTTAAGAAATCTGGTTATCTCAAGATTCAACATTCATTGTAAAGAAATACTGTTATAAGGGAGTACGGGAAAAGTTAAGTGATAATGCCTGCTCAAGAGATCTAATGGAAAAGAAAACCTTTTTAAATGCAATTGTCCTTATATTTTTGAGTATAAAGAAGGGATGTTCTATTTTAATAACAGGTAGGTATTCCAGTTAGCCAATCTGTTTATTAACTACCCTTCATTGGTGACTCATTTTAGTTTCATATATATTAATGAACAGCTGACTATATACTAGTATAATCATCAGTTTAGACTATTGTGAATAAACATAATATTAAAAGATCTAATATCAGAGGACAGAAATTTGTACAGTTTAGAGAGTGCTGCTGTCTTGAAATAAAGGTAATATTAGAAAGCTTTTATAGAACAAAAGGCACAAAAGGGCAAGAGGTTATTGTGTCTTTCCTTAGCAAATTTTCTAAGTTTTAAAAGATAACATTAGGACTGGGGATGTACCTCAGTGGTAGGAGGCCCTGGATTCAATTCCTTGTACCATCAAAAACAAAAACAAATTAACTTGAATGTCTTAGACAAATTTTAGTTAAAAACAACTAAAAAGTTGTATGTCCTTAGTGTCTTCTTTTTTGTAATTGGATCAGTAAGTGAAGAAAATATCTACAGAATGTCTATATCTGAGCACAACAGACTGATTTCTTTCCAAAAGAGAACCTGTGCAGTGAATGTAGCTCACTAGTAGAGCACTTGGCTGGCATGTAGGAGGCTATGGGTTCAATCCTCAAACCACCAAAATAAAAAGGGAGGATGGAGACAAGGAGACATTTACAATATTTTTAACTTATGTTTATTTACACTTATTAAGTAAAAGTAGGAAAAATGAAGAAGCATTAATTTATCTTTCAGAGTCACTGGATGCCATCAAAATTTTAGTCAAGATTTTAGATTATTTAAAACCATGAAGGTAACACAGAGAACTAAATATCTTAACAGCCAAAACATGAAAGGCACTAGGACAGGAGACAAAGGTACTGTGCACTTAATTTCTCATCTTTCTAATGAAAAGAATCAAATACAATCTGAAATTGATACATCAAGAAATGAAAGTACAACTTTGAAAGTAATAAATTCAACCTTCAGAAAAACTAGAAATAAATTGCCAGCAGTGGTAACCTGTGGAAGTAGAGGGGAGAAACAGGGACACTTTTTATTTTACATCTCTGCACAATTTGTACTTTCCTGCATGTGCATGTATTTATTCTCAATCTAGATTGTTTGTTGAACTATCAATAATCATACACCTTTTAAAAAAAAAACTATATTTCTGCCTCTAATGACTCATGGACTGTTTGTCAACTTTATAAAAATGGAACATACTCCAAAATGAAATGTCTCATCTATCAAATTATGGATTAGATTAATTTTTTAAAAAGGAAGTTTTTTTCCTCATCTTACTAAATTGCTGGGCAACCATGAACCAAACTGGGCAACACAGCTACAAATATTAAAAAAAAAAAAAAAAGAAACAACAAAAAAACATTTATTGGTATTGTTTTTAAAAATCAAAACCTCTTTTACCTGTGTTTTAAGTAAAAACAGTTATAATACTGTCCAATATAACTCCTATAAACTACTGAATGCAGTCAACCTTTACAGAAGACAGGGGCTTCTTGATTTCAAACTAGTAAATCCTTACATCTAATAAATAAGACAAATGGGGATTATATTTTCTTTGAAATCAAAACGAGAGGCATTTCAAAAGTTTGTTATCTTCACTGATCCTCTCAGGAATGTAAAAGTATGCACTGCAGTTTCAATCTTGCAGTCCTTGAGTGTTTTCTTTTCTTTCTTTTTTTTTTTTTAAGCAATTTATTTCTGCCTAGACAAGCAGTAAGTTGGGCCAAAGCAGTCGGGTTTTCTGTTAATCCTTAGTGTCAAACTTTGTGCTTACACTAGCCTTTCACCTTACTAATACTCCTAAACATAATTACCTCCAAAAAATTTCAAACCACAGCTAAATTCAAACGAAGGGGAGTACTGTGCGTCACTGATGATAGAATGTGATTTAACACGATGATCTCAGGACTGAATTATTTCTGGTAACCAAAGTACTTACAGCTTAGGTAATAATATGAGGAAAGACCGCAGAATTTAAAGCTGTGACTCTTCCTCTTCTCACCTTATCAGATGGTCCTTGAAACAATACTAATACAGAACGGTTCGCAAAATTTTAATTACACATTTGCCTATCACTCTCGACGACATAACACCTAATACACATCCTTGAAAACGCCACCAACTTTACTCCTAGGTATGACTCCTACGTCTAACATACTGGTCTGACTATAGTCCAGATGTACTCCATGAACTTTTGCTCGGCAAAGATAACCCTGACTTAGAAAACCAGAGGCTTTAGGCCTGCCGGGAGCCACAAGGGCCAGCAACTGAAATAGTCCTGCCTTGCAAACCAAGGTTACCTGAGACAAGACTAGGAATCTTCAACTCTTAACCCCAAATACACCTAAACCAATGACGTACAGCCCCCGCAGATCTCTCGGCAGGGGAGCGACTCGTCCCCATCAGGTGCACACACTCTGTACCAAGGCTTCTTTCTCCGACTCTACGCTGCCGCTCAAGTCCCCGACTCCCCCGGCCCGGCACCACACCTGGGGTACCTACAATCAGTGCTGGGTTGCTCCTCCCCAGTTCACTTCGTCACCAACCCCCTCCCCCCCGAGCAGCCAGCCCGGCCCAACCCGCCCACGACACCTCCAGCCCCTCACCCTTCCCTCCTCCAGGCCAAGCCTAGCTGGCCTCTCCCCTTGCTCGCACCCACACCCCTGCTCCGAGACACTCACCCGCGGTAGTAGGCTTTCACTCGGACCTGATGAGAATGGTCCCCGCTGCCGCCGCCCCCGACCGTATGGGACATGGTGCTGCTGTCCCTCTGGGTCGGCATCTCCTCACTGCCCCGCCTGGACGCCGGCGGCCGAGGGTGCGGGGGGCGCGCCAGGCGCCGCTCTGCACTCTGTAGCCCGAGCCGATCCCTGAGCGGCTGCCGCTCCCCTGCCTACCTGCGTACCTCGCCCACGGCGCCGACCCAAGGGTCGCCTAGCCCGGGCTGCCGGAACCTCGCGGCTCCTCCCACCGCCCGCGGCCGCAGCCGCCTCCACCGCCACCCGGGTCCAGCACGCCTCCCCGCCGCTGTCGCCCCTCCCACCTCGCGGGCTCCCAGGGCCCACATTCCGGGGGAGGGCGGACGCAACCATCCGACCAGTTCAAGGAGCCTTCGTGCCGGGCCGAACCATCCTCGAGGAGGCAGAAAAAAAGAAGAGAGCTAAGGAGCCGCTAGTTATAGCCCCAAACCTCCAAGAATCGCGCTTTCCGTGGGAGCCATGGTAGATCATTTATGAGTATCGGTCTGTAAGAATCCTCTCCCCTGCAGGAAACATGGTCGTGGTCAAATACTACAGCATCTCACCCCAGTTCCCAACTTGGTCGCGTCCACACTCAGCCTTCTTGGCACCTGGGATAGGTTTGTCCTGCGGGTTTCTGGGACTTGGAGTCCGGGTGGGATTCTGGGACTTGTTCCTTCTGTGTGGTGTGCCGCGCCTTCGGGCTGATGGTCAGACTCTCTAGCTCCCCCGGGCGCTGTGGGCGTGGAGATTCTAAATACAGCTTGGGTGTCTGAAGGCGCTGGAAATCACTGGGATTCGTCACGATCCAGACTTTGTTCTCTGATGAATTCTCTCTAACAATTCTTAAATAATCTAAATGACAATGCCTCTTTTGGGTAACATTTGGTTACCTGCTCAGCAAAGCTTCTTTTATGGAAAGAATTTAATATTATATGTAACAAATGTACTAATGAATGTAATAAAGGGAGAAACTCAATCAGAAGATATGAGGGAAGACAAACTTTTCTTCCCTCACGGCCCTTAGTAGCAGGACCCCTGTGCACTGTCATTGGATGGAATAAGTGCACAATAAATACTTTACCAACCAGCATTTGTTGCATTGACACTGGCTGACCAAGGACTAGAGGTGTTTTTGTTTGTTTTTTACTGGAGATTGAATCCAAGGGCACACTACCACTGAACTACATATCCAGTCCTTTTTTATTTTGAGACAGGATCTCATTAAGTTGCTCAGGCTGACCTAAAACTTGAAATCCTCCTGCCTCAGCCCACGGAGTTGCTGAGGGCCACAACGCCTGGTTTTAACCAAGGATTAGAAAGAATCTGTCCCTGTAACTTACTCTCTCACTTTCCTCGAGTCTTGGCTCTGTCACAAAAAAATACTACAGTTACTGGTGGCATGAATCCAGGCCCTGCGACTGTTCTGGAACCAAAACGTGCCAAGAGTTGGAATAATCAGCCTAGCGCGATGGCCCACACTGACAACAGGAGGGTAGCAAGTTCAAAGACAGCCTCAGCACCTTAATGAGACCCTATCTCAAAATAAAAATAAAAAAGAGTTGGGGATGTAGCTCAGTGGTTAAAGTGGCCCTGGTTTCAATCCCTAATTAAAAAAAAAAAAGGTTTGTAATATTCAAAGAAATAGCTTTCTTTACGACAGTAAATTAGGCTTAGGGGGTTGACTCATCAGAGTTATGTGTAACGCTTAGCTTCTTATGATATTCTCCCACTGCTATGAGCTTGCATCATATGTTTTAACGAAAATTTCCAGAGCTGAGGATGTAGCTCAGTGGTGGAGCATGCAGCATGAGGCACTGGGTTCAATCTCTAGTACCATTTTGAAAAAAAAAAAAATCTTGTTGAATAACTTACTATCAAGTTTTCTGACAATTGGGTACCTGAATCAGCATGTTAAATATAGAAATTGGATTACTGGAGAATTTGATATGGGCCAAATCTGAGATTACATGATGGCTTACTATGGGTGGGGGAAATGCCTTAAGTCATGTAAAGAATAAAATTTAATAAAGAAATGAAAGTTAAGGTATAGGAAACATTTTTTTTTTCATCCTTATTCCTTAGCACTTTTGAAAAACCCTTCATTTTCCTCATAGCATACATTGAGGGCAACCATCATTACCAAAGGAGGTTTTCTATTTACTTTATTCTCTAGAAGAATCTGTAAATATTTATAATTCACATCAATAAATAAGTACTCTTTTTTTAAAGATGAAAACTATTAAGAGCAGAGTGTGGTGGTGCATGCCTGTAGTCCCAGCTACTTGGGAGGTTGAGGTTGGGGGATCACTTGAGCCCAAGAGTTGGAAACCAGTCTGGGCAACATAGTGCCTGTAAAAAAAGAGGGTGGGGGAGAAAGACACAAGAGCTTTCTGCTGCGATTACCAGGGAAAGCATGGCATTAAAAATTTTAAATAGCTTTATTGAGATATAGTCCACATACCGTACAAGTCACCCATTTAAAATATATAACTCAATAGTTTTTAGTATATTCACAAAGTTATACAACCATCACCACTGTCTAAATCCAAAATATGTGCATCACCCCAAAAAGAAAGTATATATCCATTAGTAGTTACTGGCCATTCTCCTCAGCTCTAGTGAACACCAATAGCTTGTATTGCTATGGATTTTCCTGTTCTAGACATTTCATATAAATGGAATCATATAATATGTAGCTTTTTTTTTTGGTGATGGTACAAGGGATTGAACCAATTGGCACTTAACAACTGAGCCATATCCCTGGCCCTTTTTCACATTTTATTTAGAGACAGGGTCTCACTAAGTTGCTTAGAGCCTCACTAAGTTGCTGAAGCTGGCTTTGAACTTGTGATCCTCCTGCCTCAGCCTCCTAAGTCACTGGGATTACATGTGTATGCCACTTTTGGTGTCTGACTTCTTTCACTTTGTTTAATATTTCTGAGATTCCTCCATGTTGTATCATACATCAGTACTTCATTCTTTTATATAGTTAAATAATATTCTCAACCAAAAGGATGTGTTAATGCTACCATAAACATTCATATACTAGTTTTTGTGTGGACATAATTTTTAATTCTGTTGGGTATGTATCTAAGGGTAGAGTTGCTGAGTCACATGGTAACTATGTTTAACATCCTGAGGGAATGTCAAATTGTGTTCCAATCTACCATTTTACATCCCACAAGCTTTGTTGCTAAGAGCCTTGGTACATGTTACTGGATTCAGTTTTCTAATATTTTGTTTAAGGATTTTGCATCTGTACTGAAGAGATTGGTTGAGTTGTTTTCTTATGTATTTGATTTTGATTATCAGTTTAATACTGTCCTTATAGAACTGGTGGGAAGTATTCCCTCTTCTTATGTTACTTATAATAGTTTTTGAGGAATTAGTGTTAATTCTTCTTTAGATGTTTGACAAAATATACCAATGAAGACATCCAGGCCTAACTTTTTTCGTTAAAAGAAGATTTTAAGTGACTAGTTCAACTATTTTACTTGTTATAGGTTTATTTGTATTTTCAATTTTTTTTCTTGGATAAGTTTTGATAGTTATGTCTTTCTAGGAATTTGTTCATTTCATCTAATTTATTTACAAAATAGGGTTGTTGATAGTATTCCCTTAATAATTCTTTTATTTTTGTCAGATTGGTATTTAAATTTAAGCCCTCTTTCACATACACACACACACACACACACACACACACACACATTTTCCTCCTTGGTCAGTTGAGTTAAAATTTGTTAATTTTATTGATCATTTCAAAGTAACAAGTTTTGATTTTGTTGATTTCTCTAAGATATGGAAAACAGCAAACCCCAAAATAGTGCGGCCTTGGAAGAGGGAGTAAGGAATAAGGCCAAACATTGATAAAATTGATCATTCCCCAATACATCCTTCTCAGTTTTGAAGACAATACCTGAGAAGGATATCCATCAAGCTGAAAATGGCAGTCTTTGGGGGGAAGCCAAAGCATCGATCATTCCCCAAATAAATCCTTTTCCAGTGACAGTATAATGGGACCATGAAGGGAAAGAGAGAAACACTGAATGCTGACCCCCAGACCCACCATTCTTCCCCAAGTAAAAACATTGCCCAGTAAAAACGAATTTCAAATTCTCACAACCTGTTTCCTGAGTGCCCAAAATGACATGCTTTGTCAATAATTAAGTCACCTCTCAGTGGAGCATGTATAAGCACAGATTCCTCCTTTGGCCAGTGGCTCAGTTTCTACCCAGAAAATGTGCCCACCAGATGCATGACTTCTCTGCTGAACAAAGGCTTTGCTGATCAGTGAAGTTTGCACCTGGCTCCGTCATTTTGTGCTAAAATTTCTCTATTGTTTTCTGTTCTTTTTCATTAATTTCTGCTGTAATCTTTATTATTTTTTTTCCTTTTTATTGCTTTTGGCTTACTCAGCTTATTTAGGTGTAAGCTTAAGTTACTGATTTGAGATTGGTTTTGCTTACAGCCATCAAAAAAAAATACTCCAAACACTTCTTTAACTGAACCACATCAGTTTTGGTATGTTGTATTTTCATTTTTATCTTATGACATTTCTATTTTTCTCTTGATTTCTTCTTTTTAGAAGTGTGTTGTTTAATGCCCACATGTTTGTGGATATCCCAAATTTCCTTCCATTATTGATGTATAATTTCATTCCATTGTGGTCAAAGGACATGCTGTTTTAGTTAGCTTTTTTGTTGCTATGACCAAAAGATCTGACAAGAACAATTTTAGAGGAGGAAAAGTATATATGGGGGGTCAAAGCAGTTTCAGAGATCTAAGTCCTTAGATGGCTGACTTTATTGCTCTGGGCCATAGGTAAGGCAGGACATCGTGACCTAAGAGCGTGCCAAGGAAAGCAGCTCAGGACATAGTACCAGGAAGCAGAAAGAGAGAGAGAGAGAGAGAGAGAGAGAGAGAGAGACTCTTCTCACCACTGCCCAAAGGCACAACACCAATAACCCACCTCCTCCATCCATACCCTCTCTGCCTGCTAGTACCACCCAATTATTCCCTATGAGTGGATTTATGCACTGAT